TTAACGACTAAGATTTAAATTGAAATATTATAAAAATAGAATATAAAATAAGGGGTGACAGGATTATAATAAGGAAAGTTCTACAAAGTCGGTTTATAAAAAAACCATATTTTTTCCGTAGGACACTTTTAATAATAGATTGACAAAGTATTAAACATAAAAAAAGTGTTCCGTCGGATAGTTCAAATATTCAAATTGAACGAGGGGATATTTTAGCTATAAACGCACATTTTCAGGCGGGGGTTATATATCTCTTCATCCATGATATTTTCTTTAAGGTTCCCGGTGGCTAGGCTTTTGTGGTATTCCAACAGTATTTTTATCCCATTCCGCCATTCGTGATTTGTGATCTTACATTCTGTTGAATATTGTTATTCCCCGAATGCGAAAATATGGTCGTCTAGTGCCAAAACATATTTTTGACAGTTTGTTCCAAATAATCGTACGATTTGTGTCTCAAATACACATATAATTCTATCAATTGAAAATGTTTTTATTTATTAAAAGTTTATGCACACAAATCAGTAAAAATTAGACTTCCAATATGATAAAAGATTTATATTTCTTTAATGTTTAAAATTTGAAAAACTCATTTGAAAATAAATAATAATAATTTTATTATGTGATCAACTAACTCACTGTATCACCGTCTCAACAATGGATAATTGATACAAAGATAGATCAGAGAAGATCAAGTATGACCGAACTGATAACCGCTAAAATACATATGTGTAGTAAAACTATTTGTATCTTCGGACGTACCTTTTGCACAAAATATAATTAAATTTTGTTTTAGTATTTGTTTCAAATAATAGTACGATTTGTGTGTCAAATATACATACAATTCTATCAATTGAAAATGTTTTTATTTATTAAAAGTCTATGCACACAAATCATTAAAAATTATACTTCTGATATGATAAAAGAATTATATTTCTTTTATGTTTAAAATATCATTGCTTGCGACTTATTTCAAAATAAGTAATAATAATTTTATTATGTGATCAACCAACTCACTGTATCAATGTCTCAACAATGCATAAATACACAGACAGATCAGAGATGATCAAGTATGATCGAACTGATAACCGCTAAAATACATATGTTTGGTAAAACTACTTGTATCTTCGGACATACCCTTTGTACAAAGTAAAATTGAATTTTATTTTAGTTTTTTTATAGGTTATTTATTACATTAAAATCGTTAGATATTTCCATTCTATTGTTAGTTTTAACATCTCTAACCTCCGTTGCGGGAGACCATTAGAACAGCTTATTTACAGAAAAATCTAAACCTAGCTAAAGAAAATTATATACGGGTTTAAATATCTGAATGGACAATCGTGCAGTAACATTAAACGTGATTGTATCTTGCGTGCATGCGTGTGGGTTTAAATTGTTTAACCTTTCTGAAAGTAGTGGAATATAAAAGTTCAGCGACAGAGCGTAATTGCACATGCAAAATAGTCCGTTGTGTGGTTAATAGAGCAATTGTGTCAAAGGGATAATCCTGTAGAGCATAGTATGAAAGTTTAACCCTTTCCATTTAATAACCTCCGTGTACTGCATAATAAGAATCTCCGATGACACGGCTGAGAGCTAACGAGTTTATCGAGCCCTCTGTTAATGCCAAATCGCTCCGGTGTCGCCGGATAATCCGATGATCGCCCCCTGCCCAAGAAAGGCCTTTTGGAAATGTATTCTGAAAATTAGAGACGAGCCTCATTCCGTTTATTTTGACGCAATATCCGACATTTTCAATGGCCCTACGCTGGAGATTAAACAACATTAAACAATCCGTACGGGCGCGGAAAGTTTCCCTATGTTTGTTTTAAGAGTCGTAAGAGTGATTAGAAGGAATTTAAAGTTAGAGAAGCCCTTCGATGGGGAACTTTTCCGTATTCCAACTTCTGAGGATGCTAAACCCTTGTTAATACAAGACAGGGTATTTCATCCTAGGCCAACACCAAACAACCGTAAAGATCCAGATTTATTCCTACAACAAAACAGGGTAGATATATCGCATAAAATTACGACAATTACCTTTTTCCTCAGCAAATATTAAGTTTAAAAAGACTAAGAAAAGAACTATGAATCATCAAATCTTTAAAAAGCTCATTTAAATTATTGATACCTAAATTACAAATTATTTTTATTCATTACAATACGATTTATTCTCGCTTATACACTTTTACCATAATGGAAGATACAGTTTTATCCAATTTCTATAATAAGTTATTAAAAGTGAAACGAATTATTTTAACTTGGATTTGTGTGAATTTACATGATGGATGTTATTTGTGTACAACTCACTTCAGCCTTCTAGCTTATTGTACTTTCCTAGTTCCATAGTGCAATCGATTCTATCCTTCTCCTAAGAACTAGGTCATGGACTATCGTTGCTACAATTCGTTTTCCTATTTTTTCTTTGTATCCCAGGTTATGTCTCTCATTTATAGGTGGCTGTTTCTTACTCTTCATTGCATAATCTATAGACTGTCTTGTCATTCAATATGCCCATGTTGTGTGGTTGTTTTCTCAGTTTCCGGTGACCGGTAAATAGTTCTATAAGTCCTCTGACTTTACCTCTCTAACTGTAATATTGAGTTTGCCAGTCTTGGTGAGGGTTACATTATCATAAGTTTACTTTGCCTTGAACCCCTAGTGTCTCAACCATTTCTCCTTTAGCCTATTTTGGATCTTTTCTGTGATGGAGAATTCTTTGTTTGTTTTTGTTATCGCAAGGATAGTTCAGGGCCTGTATGTAGTCTTGCATATCCTCCTCTGGCGAGTCTGTCTACTTTTTCGTTACCCAAATTCTTTTGTGTACTGGTGCCCAAGATATAACCAAGTTTTTGTTTTTCCCAAGGTTTTAGAGATTTTTGGTCCATTCAAGGACAGTTCTGATGTGATTTTTTACACGCTAATGCTTTAGAAGATGCCTGGCTATCCGAGCTTATGAGGATTTTTGTTAGTGTAACCTCCTTTTTTGATTTTCGAGGAACACGCATTGATGGCATGTATTTCAGCTTAAAAGACCGAGGAATGAGTTTGATTTTTCATATTTTGCACTTGTGCAAATTCCATATCCAGTTATTTCACCTGTTTTGGCTCCATCTGTATATCATACAATTATATCTGATGTTCTCCTAAATGCATCTTCTCCTTTGTAGTATTAATACTTAATAGCATGTGGTGAAGCGTTTTTCTCGGGTCATGTAATCGGTCTTCGTTTCTAAGTTTAATAAATTTTCTGTCAATTTGTGAATTTGTCAAAAGTTTATCATCTTAGAAAAGTGTAAAACGGATAGGGAAAGAAATAGAGGGCGTCTAAGGAATCACATTTCTTAATCGCCATTTTCTGGAGGGCCAACATTCGAACAAGTAGGCGAGTGTCATGAATCAGAAAAAACCCGAATCTTCATTTAAAAAAATAACCTCGTAGTTGGAATACCCACATAAAAATAAAATAATACAAAAAATACAAAAACTTAACATTTGATTCTGATTTGTAAATATTGTATTTCAGGCCCCCACTTTCAAGACCTCTAGTTGACCTTTCCTGAAAATTTAATTTTCCTTAAGTAGACGAAAAAATACGGGCCTCGTTGGAAAAACAAAAATCTCTTTCAATTACATGATATTTGTCTTAAATTGTTCTCTTCTATTTCCTTTCCAATTGAATATGTACCAGACTTAACAAAAACTTCTGTATTAAAAAGAATCATTCAACTATTATTCCGGTGATATCTATGACACATATCCTGCTTATTTTAATAATTTTAGAACAAATTATATTGTATAGTTGGATGTTTATAGTGCATATATTATTGTATATTTGAGGGGTTGTTTAGTGCATATTATGTGACATATTTGAGGATTTTTAATGTCCATAAATCCGGGCTCAAATTATAATATTTAATTTCCATAACATTTATGGCCGCCATTGTTATAACATTTATGTTTAAATTGTCAGTTGCTTTCAAGAAAAGATATAGGCAAAAAAAAGTTGAGATTTATTACTCTATTCCCATCACTTTCAGATCACATCCAGTAATTATATAAAATCCAAATTTTATCTCACGTGACGAACTTTGTATGCAAATTATTTTGAAAGTGATTCTAAGTTAATTCATTTTTAGAATAGTTTTGTATTTCCAAGCTTCCTAAGAAACATTTATAACACTAATTTGTAATTAATTAAAAAAACAATTTAGTAAGAGCAAGATTACGTAATTTTATGATGTAAATCTTTTTCTTCTGCGTAACCGTTCTTTATGGCAAGGTCGAAACTCCGAAGGCAAAACGTTAAACAGTTCTTCTATTCTTCATTAATGTTGTTTTATTGTTATGGAAAGCGGCAGCTATGTTGGCAAGTGACGGTATTTCTTTTATTCTATTTTATTGAAATATACGACTTGAAAATGGTACAGGATACCCGATAGGTCACAAAATTGTTTTCTATTAAAAACAGAAAAACTACGAAATAATAAGCCATACCAAATATGAAATTTTTCATCGGTAAACACTTGTTTTGTCATTGGTACATTTGCTGTCAAAAGTATGCGATTTCTGCGACAGACATTATTTCAAAACCAACCTATATTGTTTATATTACACACTAAACCTGATTGTCGAAACTGTGTTTAATATTTATGCTTATAAACCTTCAAACGTCAAGAAAAATAATGTAAACTAAAGTAATAATTTTATGTAGGGAAACAATATGGTGTTACGAAGTATTTTATTATTCATTTCCTTGAGAGCTCGCTAGAAAATTAAAGACAAAAATGTAAATTTCTTACACTAAGTTTTCCAAAATTTATACATTTAGTATTTTAGTTCGCACTCTAGCACAATGGATTTAATGTTACATATAATATAAAATATATAACAATCTTTAATATTTACTTACAAATATGCGTTTAATTTAATTTAATTAACTCGATGGTCGTTTATAGTACACAAATTATTTGAATATGTTGGATGGGAAAATCTACCTGGCATCACAGTTGGCGAGATCATGAGAAAATTAATGCATGCGGCTCCGGTGCCGTGGCCGACCATGGTTACGTTGCTAGGGTCACCGCCGAAAAGCGCGATGTTCTGCTGTAGCCAGTGCAATGCTGCAACTTGGTCCATTAATCCATAGTTGGCTACTCGGGCTTTCAACTGCGGAGCAATGTTCGCATTGAGGAATCCTACAAAAAAAATTTTTTTGTTTTACACAAACTGTAATCGATGGTAATCAATAACTTACAAAAAATTATTATACGATCACGAATTGTAATGTGCATGAGCTCAATAAAGTGTTAAAATCCGGAAATAATTAGATTTGTTTTTCTGTCTGGTTTAGTGATCGTTAGGTATAGAAAATTCAATATCTGTAAATCAACGTTCTGTAAAAATAATCCTTCGTCTATGACTGAAGTCTTTCTTTCGGTGTGTATATTTGTCCGTTGAAAAAAAAAAAATAGTTTTGTTTTGTCATATTTATATATCACGAACGCTCAACATTACATACAAGTCCATTACAATTCGTGGTCCGCTTGACCAATTAACATTTTTCAATTAATTAATATTTATGAAATGTATTGGTCGAGATAAAACTGTCAGTGTCACGAGCGGGATTCGAACCCACGATCTTCGGCTAAATACGCTGTTGCTCTACCACTTGAGCTATCGTGACTTCGATCCACTCGGACACCAACTTCTCATCTCAACCTCACCTCTCGAATTTTCCATACTTTTTACCATTTTTCAAATGTCGTGTAATCTATTTGATTATCGGCGACAAATGAAATGGCCACGGAGAGCTTTCGTGAAGATATACTTCAGTTTAATTATTAAATCCATTACAGTTCGTGGTCATTTTTCAATTAATTAATATTTATGAAAGGTATTGGTCGACATAAAGAAGTCAGTGTCACGAGCGGGATTACGTACAAAGATGAAACTTCTACAAGACATACAATCAACATTATAGAAATTGGAAATACATACGGAAAAATATCATTTAAGGCTAAACTCATTATCACTTAAATGAAAAACAGTTCAGATATATCGTTTACACCATTTCAACCAATATATTACAATAATTAAAAAGGAAAGGAACCGACGATTTCACTCGCCTCATCACTTTATAAGAGAGACTTGATTCACAGAAGTGCTGAAAGTAGTGTAACAGACCAACCAAGTGAGTATTAGCTAGTCCAAAATGGTGGATAGCTAGTTAATTTCAGGTTCAAAAAATTAAAAAAATTTATTTCACATATACATGTACAGTGAACAATAAATATGTTTCGATTTTACAGTAAATTTTGGGGAACTTATTTCACATATTGTATTTAAACAGCCCTTACATTTACAAACGACATAAATTAAATCCATACCCAAAAATATTTACATAAATTCTATGGGAAAAGCGAAAACCTAACTTGGAAACAAGATTTATAGATGGTCGTCGGTGGCAGCAAAGGTTTAAGCGGTACGACCTGACACAACGCAACAAGATATGACTAAACGCCTTGTCTCATTTTGGTATGGTAGATTGTGCACTTATTAGAAATGATGAATGATGGAGTGAGTGCGGTGTTCAGTCCTTTTTTAAAAAAGTTGTCTCTTACTGTGAGTAGGAACTATCTTTTTTATAAAAGGGCTGTGTACTCATGTACGTCAAGCGCACGCTGTAGGACAGTCACACAGCGTGTATCAATCAATATCACAATCGCAACACATCTTTTTCTATTAACGCATTATGATTAGCAAAACATATTATAAATCGGGTGGCTTCGGGTCACGTAGTGTTGCTTGCGTCGGGTTTGTTCCCCGTTGCAAAGCTTAGCGTAGAGAGGCGTTGCATCACTTCACGTCAGGCAAATATGAACGGGGGTTATTTCCTACTTAATACAATATTATGGAAAATTCGACCTCTAGCGGCCTGGTATTCGAACCCGATATACTTTCAAGTGGACTTTTTTGCAAAACACCGGCACCCAGAGGGTTGATATGACCTCTGATTTGCAACAAAAACTAACTAACCACCCATAACCATGTTTACATGTATTATGTTATATCTCATATTTTGGTACTTCACACATATATCCGGAATAGGCTTTAACATTTCATTAATTATAAGAATAATTTTATTGCATTTCCTTGGTTGATTAATACTTTTCTATGCTTGAAACTAAAGCAAATCAACAATTTTTACATATTAAGAAGAAAATTTCAATAATTAAACTATAAATTAATTTATTGTTTCTACATTTTATGCAAGAATGTGTACGGAGGGAAATTTGTACGTAATCGAAATAACTTACTTTGTGCTATCTGAAATATTTTTATGTTTACAGCGCGTGTGAAACACGGGGCAGGACAAGATTATGTAAGCATTGGTCTTACCAATGACTTCTAAATTAGAATTTTGTTATATTCCCTGAAAGAAAAGTGTCTGCTCAGCAGTGGAATTGTTCATTATCTCGCTGATAAAACGTAGAAATCCCAAATCCATATATTATCTTTGATGATTCTATAAAAAAAGATGGAATTTGCCCTATCCCAAAAAACAATTACCTTCTAATTGATTTCGAAAATAATTTTTCCTTCAATAGTCAACCAGTAACCGAAACGTCGCAAGAATAAAGTCACCAATATATTTTTAATACAACAATAAAGGTAGTACCAAAAAAATTATCCCTCTACGACAATGAAGTTAATAAAGTTAATTGTTAAATTTTGGTTTTTATGAAAGATATTAGTAATGCTCGTAATGCTTAATATGTTTGATTCATCTCTTGACGATAACAGCTAATTATTCCTGATATGGTTTCTGCGATTCACCGGTTTGAAATGAAGCAGTTTCCAATATATCTCAAACATTGTGAGCGTTCACTAATGGGACTTAAGGACGTCTCATATATAATTGCACCTGTTCCCATACCCAAGAGGGGCTGAATAATTACCAAGTATTGTCTCCTTGTGTATGTAGATGAACCGAATGGCTGATCGCCTTTGAAGCGGTGAAGAGGGTTCGATTTGACGGAGCAGAGCGCTCAATATGAGGGGGAGACCTTCTCACCAAGACGGTTCGTTTACACCAAAAATGTAATAATTTCATAAATTATCACAGTGACGAAGATGGACATTATTTACGGCAGGGAGTTGGGGGCCGAAAGACAAACTTGGGGCTAACTGTTCGGTAAACTCTAACAGGATTTCTCCCCCAGTCTAACTTCCGACCGGTCACTCCGTCATGTTCCCAACATTCGTGTTAAACAAGCAAGGCCAGAAAGGAAATTTGTAGGAGTTGTCAACAGGTTTTTCTTGTACAAAAATTTTCCCTATCGTTGTCGCAATTCGTGGGGACTTTCGTGCTACGGATGAGTCTAAATTTCCTTTACAAGAGGTGTTAAAATTGTCATAAAACATAGAGCAATCGCAGAAAACCATGATTAAATAATATAACCTTGTTGCCTTATAACATTTAAATAATTATCGTTAAATTTTAAATTATGAAACTGGTAATCTTACAGATACATGAAAGATATTCACAAGATTGTAAAAACAAACCGTTTTCGCGAAAATCAGGTAACAACCACGTGAAGATAGCGTGTCAATAACTATCTATTCTCAGATACAGAGAAAGTTCTGATTAGGTGTGTGTCAAACATGGCAATAAATAAACCTATACAGCATCAACATTCATCTACGTCAGGTGAATCGGTTGATACACACGATCAAATAGGCAGGCAGGAGAAATCATTATCTATAATGGCTATGCTCATGGATGGTTTGTTGATATTCAAGAAGATATTGGATGTTCCTTTGGCAATGCTCATATCACATGCATTAAATAAATATAATATTGATAGAATGAGGCGCTGAATAAAAGACAGATTATTAAGGAAATGATTCTAAGCGATTAAATTGAATATTTGACAATCCTTATTACAGGAAAATTATGACAAAACGTGCACGTTGGCCTGATTTTCTCTAACCTTACAACGACTTAAAATATTTCTCACAATTTGCCATTTTTATGAAGAGGGTAAGACTAAGTTTTTCAATCGACACGCTAAATTGATTACTTTTACAAGAAAGTTCCACTTTTCCAAGCACATTTCCTTCCGAAGACTTTTACATAACGGAAGTTCTCAAGGATTGAGATGAAACAAAAATATCAATATTCCTCACACATAACTCAATAGAATAACAACTGAACTTAGCTATTTTTAATTTTTCAAACAAACTCATCAACACGTTTGAAATATTGAATTCGTTACAGCATAAATTAAATTTGTTGTTATGACTATGAACAACTGCAGCTTTTGAAATTTAAACGATTGCTTTTCGACAAGGAGTCTAAAATTATAGTTTACTTTTTCATCTTTGTCCGATCTTTTACAATTTCCGGTCAATATTTTTTCAAAATAAAATATAAGAACGAAGTGTACGTTAAAAGTGACTCTAAAATACCGTTTATATTAAATTCCCTTCAACATACAATACCTCATCCTTAGAGCTTTACTATGGAAATGATTGAGGGCAGGGGCTCCTAAAACCAATTCCTGGGAGATTAGAATTTACTACCTTCCAGCAGGCACTCGCAACACTTTATTAAAGCGATCAAACCTCTAAAGAATAGCGTTTCGTGTTTCTCGTGTACAAAAGCAAAAATTGCAATGCCGTTTCTATCAAATGGTAATCATAAATTCCGCACATTAGGAGTTAAGGTTAAGAAATTATTTCTCAAATGGCGCGAAAAAATACCCATAAGATATTAAAAGAAGATGTTTAAGATTTGAGATACATTTTTCTTTGAGATAAAAAAGTCAATATCACGAGCGGGAAATCGCTCACCCATTTTTCAATTGTGGCGAGAATCAAATAGATTACACGACATCTGAAAAATTGCAAAAAACGAGGGAAAATTCAAAAGGTGAGGTTGAGATGGGAAGTTAGTGTCCGAGTGGATCGACGTCACCATAGCTCAAGTGGTAGAGTAACGGCGTATCTAGCCGTGGGTTCGAATCCCGCTCATGTCACTGACTTTTTTATCTAAACTGAAAACCTTGATTAATTGAAAGATATTAATTGGTCAAGCGGACCACTAAAACTAGTGAATTTGAGATAGACTTAAGAATTGGATTTTCACAGGTGCGTGATTTAAATTGTTAGTTAATTTGGAACAGTGTGCATG